ATTGAGAGCTAGCGAAATGCCTACGACTGTGCCTGCTGTTGTATCCTCAAAGGAAAGATAACCTGCTCTCTGGGACCTCTGCAGAGCCGGGGAGGCTGATGAGAATGCACGCTAGTACATCGTGATCTGATTGGTGCCGAATGGGGGTGTGTCCAAGGACGATGTGGGAGTGACCAGCAGGTCTAGGAGGCCGGCAGCGGTGTGGTAGAAAGTGTCATGGAAAAAGTGATGAGTTCAGCCAAGGGAACAAAGCTGGGTGGGGTGGGCTACGGTGAGAAGGAAGATCAGGGCCTTTCTGGCAGTGGGGCAGCACGCCCAAAACACGGGGTTGACAACCACTCTCCAGAGCTCAGAGGCCTGCAGTCCTACGATGAAGTAGAGAACACTCTTTTCAAAAGTGTTTGTGCATTGGGGCTAATTCCAGGGAGAATGATGGAGATAGAAATGACCTTTTCTTTTAACGTTTATTTATTTATTTTGAGAGAAAGCATGAGCCGGGGAGGGGCATAGAGAGAGGGAGAGAGAATCCCAAGCAGTCTCTGCGCTGGAAGAGCAGGGCCCGACGTGGGGCTCGAACTCACAAACTGTGAGATAATGACCTGAGGTGAAATCAAGAGTTGGTTGCCTAACCAACTGAGCCACCCAAGCACCCCAAAAGTGAACTCTTAATATAACTGTGGGAGCTCCAGTGTCTAAAAATTAGTCACAAATGATAATAAAGGGATCCAGTACATAATGGAGTAATGGAATCCTAGAGAAGTAGATATATCATAAAGGGAGTAGAGACATCTTGCCTGGGACAGGGGGCTGATGAAAATAGCAATAACAAGTAACATTTATTGAGTTATTACTAAATGCCAGGTGCTTCATGCTTTGCAAACATTGACTCACTTTATACATCACAACTCTGTGATGTAGGTTCTATTATTATCCTGTCTCAGGATGCCGTCTCCCTCCCTCGTCTATTCCCCTTTCCTCCACTTATCACCACCTAATGAACAAGGTATTATATTTATTTAATATGATTTTGTATGTGTCTCTCATTTTCTGATAGAACAGACTCTCCTTAGGGCAGGAATTTTTGTTTCTTTTGTTTCCTGCTGTATACCCAAAACTTAGAAGACACAGTAGGAGCTCAATAAATATTGGTGAACAAAGAATGATAGAAACTGAGGTACAGAATGGTTAATGCCACCTCAGTCAGTTAAGCTTCTGACTTTGGCTTAGGTCATGATCTCGTGGTTTGTGAGTTCAAGCCCCACGTTGGGCTCTGTGCTGACAGCTCGGAGCCTGGAGCCTGCTTCAGATTCTCTCTCTCTCTCTCTCT